GAAAGCCACTGGGAATAGTCGCCGAAGAAGGAAGCTGCAGAATCACATAGGCGCAGCTAGGAATATCTGAGTATTGAGGCACAGACCTATCGATCGCAGAGCTCAGGCATCCACAGTGCCCCCCACGTTGCTGCCACTGGGAAGGGGAACCCTATCCCCTTCCGCCAAGGCTCGAAGGCGTTGCACCGTCTGGACACAGGCACACTCCTGGCCACCGAAGACCACCACCCCAAAGATAAGTGGGGGACTTGCTGGACCTATGGACCTCCATTGATTTGCCGCCGTTCGGACTCAACAGCCACCGAGTGCCAACCAACCGCATCACCACTTACCCAAAGAACCAAAACATGCCGAGACGGTGCCTCCATGAAGGTCACGATGCACAAGGTGCCGCCGCCGCCCAAACCGAGGTGGGTTTTTGGGCTTTCACCCGGGAACTGGGATGGGGTGTGGAGAAAAGAGACCTCGGCGGCGCCTGCAAGGAGGAAGGTGGCTCACTTGTGCATCGCTGCCTCCATGGCCGGAGCAACCGACCAAGGATTTACCCCTGGTCTCAAGCCTACACAACCAACACCCCGCCTTCTCCGTATCCAGCGACCGATGGCCGCTAATAGGCAAAGCCGGCAGGGGGAGTAAACTAAGGGGGAGATGACCCTGACCTTCAGATCTGGAGCAATAGAGAGAAAATCCGTGCCACGATTACTACCTGTCGACTCCTCACTGCCCATGCACAAGGAAGCCGGCTAGCACTTCCACACGCCGCCTGTCGCGGAGGCAATGCCACCTCGCCATCCGGGGCTGCCACCCCGGCAACCAGAGTTCTTTGCGAAGGAATGAAGAAGCGAGAACCTCACCGCCACCTTCATCGGCGTCCAAACCGGCTTGCCCGGCATTCACCTTGGGTGGTGGCAAGGGAGGGAGAGGGTGGATGGGGTGGCGCCGCCGGGGAAACCCTAGTCGCCCCTGATTCGCCCTGGGGAGGACGGGCGAGGGTCCCGGAAGCGTCCATGAGGTCACAACAGAGTACTCCACTTACCACAGTATGTAATGTGCACTACTGCAAGTTACTCCCTCCGTTCCTAAATATAAGTCTTTTTAAAGATTCCAATAAGGAACTACAAACAGAGCAAAATGAATGAATCTACACTCTAAAATATGTCTACATACATCTGCATGTAGTCCATAGTGAAATCTCTAAAAAGACTTATATTTAGGAACGGAGGGAGTACTTACCAAGAACTCTGTTGTATTTGTTACTATCTTGTACTCCAAAATATAAGGCGTATAAGTTGTCATAAGTAAAGGTTTTCTGAGTTTGACCAGGTTTACAGATAAGAATGTCAATATCTACAATACCGAATAAATATGTTATGAAAATATATTTTATGGTGAAACTATTGATGTTGATTTGCTATTGTAGGTATCAATAATTTTGTAAGAAACTTGGTCAAACTTATAAAACTTTGAGTTAGGGCAAACCTTATATGTCTTATATTTTGGGACAGAGGGTTATATGTTAATTTGGGGTTTCATTTGTATCTAGACTCGGTTACTGATACAACTCAACTCTAGAGAAGCAGGAAATACCATCTGTTTTAGAAATCATCGTCTTGCTGCATACTTTAATCAGAATTAACTGACTGTGGCGTGGCAATTTTCACTGCAGGAATACTTTATATATGCTGATGTCTTTTGTATTGTGAAACCAGATTTCATCTAAAAATCACTGTCATATCTGTTAGAGAAGTGCACTTCATTTTACAATCCTACAAGTCTAACCTGAATATATAGTCGTCAGTTTGGCACTATAGCACTGTTCTGGAAAACTGCCTTCTAGCATTAGAGCTTAACTTCCTTTCTCCGGTTTTAGGACCTCTTTGATTCAAAGGATTTTCATAGTAATAGTGGAGGACTGAATCCCATAGGATTTTTTCCTAAGGAATCCACTACACTGCATTTCAAAGGAAAAATTTACATCCACTCCAACCTCATGTAAAAAAGCTTTTGTTTTTTCTATGGTACAATCAAAGACACTTTGGTGCAGATAAAATCCTGTAGGATCCGGGTGGACATGCCACTGCAATCCTACATTTTCCTTTTTTTCTAATATATTTTCTGAGATAATTTGTCGAGTAGGAAAAGTTCTCTGAGATAACACTGTTCCCTGTTTGCTTTGGTTGTTAGAGGTTGCCTCCACTGTCAACAGACCCAAAGAGATGCGAGGCTGCATTTGTTGGGAACACAATTGGTCAGGCAAATGGGGTGTATGACAAGGTGCTTGATCTCCGGTTCTGTGATTTCACAAATGACAAAGATAATCTTAAAGGCAAGACTCTGTCTGCGGCTTTGATGTCAGGCGCAAAGTTTGATGGTGCTGACTTGACAGAAGTTGTCATGTCCAAGGCCTATGCTGTTGGTGCAAGTTTCAAAGGTAACAGAAACAGAACTACACACCTTAATCGTTTTTTTAACCACAATGCATTATTCATTGCTGCATGGCTTCCTAATACTTGAGCTCTTCAGATGTACCTTTGCATTGATCATTGCTACATTGCGTATACTAGGCAGGGTGTAAAATGCTTGTGTTATTCACCACACCGAGTTGTTGCACTTGCTCCCTTTTAGATCTTTGCATCGAGCATGCTAGATTATGAACATAAAGATAAATACTTGTCTTTGAAATGCTTTCAGGCACGAACTTCACGAATGCAGTGATAGACCGTGCCAATTTTGGAAAAGCCGACCTCGAAGGTGCAATCTTCAAGAACACCGTCTTGTCGGGATCAACCTTCGATGAAGCTAATATGAAGGACGTCGATTTCGAGGACACACTCATTGGCTACATTGACCTTCAGAAGCTTTGCAGAAACACCAGCATCAATGAAGACACAAGATTGGAGCTGGGATGCAGATGATTCAATCATAGCTGCACTTATGGCAGCATCGACATCCATCGTCCGGTAAAGATTAGTAAGTCAGGTCTGTTATAGAGCACCAGCAGGATGACAACCCCCCTCCCCCCTCTGAAAATATGTATGTACAAGCTTTTGTATACCGTAAATATCATACCACAGCTGCACTTGATCTGTGCAAACACAACTTACAGCAAATGAAAAACCTTATGCATTTCATATTGTTCTTTACATATAGATATTGTTCACAATTCAGCAACAGCATGCCATCACTGATGATGCATGCATGCTTTATTCCAAATCCACACATGATTTGATGAGGCCCTACTGTACTTTATATGTGCGCTTGCTTGACAACATCAACATTATTCGCCTTCCCTTGGGTTTGGCTCCTGCATGCCATGCTCGCACGCGCACCCTAGTATAACTTGGCCCCTACAAGGGCCGATGCTGCTCACCGACAGTGCGCAATATATACCTAGATGCACCATCTAAAATGGCCGGCAGCCTCGCCGGCCAGGCACCTGCCGGCGAGGTCGGTCTTTAATTGTCTTTAGCTCGAGATTGCGCGGGTGGCCCTTGCTCCGGCGATTGGCTTCATTCAGTGTCGTTGTTGTTGCCGGAGTCGATGACGCAGGTCTCCACACCGCCGGTCATCCAGAGGAACCACGCGTAGCTGCTCCGGTGGTGGCTGCTGTCCGGCTCCTCGTCGATGGCGCCGGTGAACATGTCCTCCGCGCCGGCCAGGTCGCCGCGGGCTTGCCAGAGGAACACCGCGTACCTCCGCATCGCCTCGCCGTCGGGCGGCTCGATGGCCACTGCACGCTTGAAATAGTCCTCCGCCCTGCAGTGGTCACCGAGGTCGATCGAGACGGCGGGTAAGGACCATGACACGTACGTACAAATTAATCAGGTGCATCTTGGCGGAATGCATGAGAATCAATGTTCAAGACCATGGCGGCGTATTTACCTGTCGAGATCCTTGTCGAACTCGTAGAGGAGCTGCGCGTAGTTGGATAGGATGAGCGAGTTGGCCTCGGAGGTGGCAATGATCCGCTCGTACGCGGCCTTCCGTATGCCGGCGCGGGCGGTCTCAATGGCCTCCTGCTCGTCGTCGTTGTCGCCCAGCGGCATGTCGTCGTCGTCGTCATGATGGATGCCGATCCTGGCCCAGAGCTCCTTCTCCATTTCCATCCCCACCAGCATCGTTAGATCGTCTGCCTCCTCCGCGTCTTCGCCGTTGTCATCGTCGTCGTCGACAGCGGCGGCGGGTTTGGCCTTGCTGGCCGCCTCCTCGATCTCCTTGGCCCTAATCCGCTCCATCTCCATCTCCACGGCCGTGCCGAGGCAGGACGCGACGATACCGAGCAGTCCCACGGCGAGGTCGGGCGACTCGAAGTGCACCTTCTGGAAGACCCACGCCACGGCATCCCCGGCGCCGCGCGCGGCGCCGGAGGCTCCCCCGACCGCCGCGCCCTGCACGGCCTCCACCGCGGCGGCGAGCGCGGCCACCGCGCACCCTGCCGCGCTCGTCGCCCGCGGCACCCCACGCGCCTGCGCCGCCATCTTCCTCTTGGCCTGGATCGCCCGCAGCGACGCCGGCACCGCGGCCATCGACGGGGGCGGCTGCTGGTCGTCCCTGCCGCACGCCGCGACGCAGAACCGGGCCTTCCTCCTGTCCCCGAAGGGCGAGGCAGCCGTCCCGAAGGCCACCGACCGGGGGCTCTTGGGCATGCCAACCATGCTCGCCGTCGCCATCCTCTCGACGAGATAGGCTAGGAACGAGGCCCTCCCAAACACGGCCGGCGTTTGTTAGTCCGGATCCAAGAACCTCCCACCCAAGGCGGTGAGGAATGGAGATCGATCTGCGAGGTTGGGGAGCGCGGCAATGGCGGGGCATATAAAGGCCCCTCCCTGGCCGTTGGCCCCGTGTGCCACGCTGGGAAACCCAAAGCCGGTGCCCCCGCGTGGCCCGCACGCCTCGCCCCGGTGGGGGGAGGTGGCCGGTTCTCCATGCGTGCCTTGCGCCAGTTCAGCTCTGGTTAATTTCGTCCGGGGAGAGGAAAGGGCTCTAACGGCCGCGCGGCGCTCTCGGCGCTTTGCCCGCGCCCGCGGCCGGCGTGATCAATCACCAGCTACGCGCCACGGGCGCGCGCGCTGGCGTCCATCCTGGGAGGCTCGCTTTGCCGATGCGTGCGGTGCGAGTGGAGTGAGCTAGCTGCTGGAGTGGCAGGAGACCGCACGCCCGCACACCATTTTGGAAGGTGACAAGGAGCGTTTGTTGTTCTGTTGAGCATGTGCGGCTTTGCGTGGCTGCCGTATCTTGGGTGCTAGCTACTTATCACATGTGCAGCAGCTGAGAAGAAGAAAATATCTGTCAACTTTTCTTGAACATTTTTTTCTTTGAAATGAACTTTTCTTGAACTTGACAGTGAAGAAAACGCGAAAGCGTTTTAACTTATAGCGTGGTGTGGCGGAGGGTTTTGGGTACATACGCGGCGTGGAAAGATAGCATACCAAACTATTACGTACATGGTACCTCCATGTATTAGTCTTAGGGGCGAAGGTAGATTTCAGGTAGTTCATTTGGGAAAGGAACTTCTGTCAGAAGCTATAAGGTCGTCACCGCTCAGCTGTTTTCCCAGTTTAGTATCAGTCAATCTTTTCGTAAGGAAAAGGTCTAGATCTAACATATAAAGCTTGCTATGCTACCCGCATAGCCGAGGCAACTGCGTCCGGCGATGATTTTCGTTCACACGATCTACCACCGTCGTACGTTTCTACCATGCTGTCAAAAATCTGCTCGTTGGTTTTTTTACACGCTATGCTTCCGCGCTTCAGTGTATGACGAGTGGGCTTCCTTTGCCCGCGGCCCTAACTCTGCGGTGTGTCTCGAGTAAGTCTTGGGTGAGAAAACAGGTGAGATGCGGGCGGGCGGGCGTGGGATCGGGTGGGTGGATTGAGGCAGAAATATCTACCTCGTCAGCCCCTCTCTTTCCTTCATCTCTTCTTCGTCCTATTCCTCTTCTACAGGCAGCCGCCGGCGCCGCTTCCTCCCTCCCTCTCGGCTGCCTTGTCTCCTCTGTCTCCACCTCCTCCTCCCATGTCTCCTCACTCGACCTCCCCTGCCTCCTCACCTGACTGGCACAGATAGGACGATGTGCAGGCAAAGGGAGATGGCGGCGCTCGATCCGATCTGTAGGAGAGAGAAGATGAGAGGGAGAGATAGAAGGAAGGAGAGAATGGATGGTGTGGTCTTCATGACGCGTGTGGAGGAGCAGGAGAGAAGATGGGAGGGAGAGGGAGAGGATCTTGAGGAAGAGTATAGGACAAGGTGATCTCTCTCTCTCTCTCTCTAATCTGCCTAGATTGATTTCGTTTCCAGGTTACAATTTTTACGGGGGGCAAATGCTTCAGAAAATCTGTGCTGCATACTGGAATCATGTTGTTCAAGGTAAAACCAGCAAAGTTCTCTTTGATGTTCTTTACATTAGATTAAACTGTTTCTTGCAATATCCCAATTTTTTTGCCTATTTTAGTGCAATATTTAGAACTGTACTAACCACAGATTCAGTTTGGAATTTGAACTATGTCCCGTCGTTTATGTTTGAGACACTCGAACATCCGGAGGCTAGCCCATAGCCCCATACTACATCACCATATGTTGTCATCTTTTGATCCGAGCAAATGTTGAAGTAAAAAAAAACACCATTAGTAAGAGAGTATATATGTATATTTCAAGAAAGGATGGGTGAAATAGCAGGTCAGAGATGCTACAATATACTTTGTTTGTTTGGGTTGGGGAGCCAGCCAGCGCACCGCCTCGTCAGTTTTGCACCGCTGCCAGCGACCGCCGTTCCGTTGCCTTGGATTCAGGTGTGGTGTTGGCTGGGAACTGTATGGTGTTTGTC